CTCTCTCTCTCTCTTATTCTGAATCTCTCTTTCTCTCTCTTATTCTGAATCTCTCTCTCACTTATTCTGAATCTCTCTCTCTCTTATTCTGAATCTCTCTCTCTCGTATTCTGAATCTCTCTCTCTCTTATTCTGAATCTCTCTTATTCTGAATCTCTCTCTCTCTCTCTTATTGTGAATCTCTCTCTCTTATTCTGGATCTCTCTCTCTCTCTTATTCTGGATCTCTCTCTTTCTCTTATTTTGAATCTCTCTCTCTCTTACTCTGAATCTCTCTCTTCTTCTGAATCTCGCTCTCTCTTACTCTGAATCTCTCTCTTATTCTGAATCTCTCAATCTCTTTGAATCTCTCTCTCTTACTTTGAATCTCTCTCTCTCTTACTCTGAATCTCTCTCTCTCTTATTCTGAATCTCTGTCAATCTCTTTGAATCTCTCTCTCTCTATCAATGTCATATCTCTCTATGTTAGTGAAAGTAATTATAATGTTTAGCATGGCAGTTTCGTCTTCTCTTGCTTGACACATATTCGTTAGGGAACTAAAATGAATGGAATGGCTTTTGCTCATAACCTACTTTCATCACGTTTCAATTCAAAATGGCATACGTCAATATTTTTGATTTTCACAATTATGTATTTGAAAGGAAAATAATATTTTTGATATTAATGCATGATTTCTATAAAATTTCACGCACTAATATTCTTGATTTTTACTATTGGATGGCTACGAGAACATCATTGTCTAAACTCAATTTTCAAAAGAATTTGTTGAATTTTATAACACACCCAAAGCCTTTTTCAGGCATTGTTACTGCATACATGGGCATGAGCACTACCGATGTAAGTCTTAATTATTATGTTTCTAATAATGATTTTTTTTTTATTTAATGAGATCATTGCTCTGCATATGTAGGGGGTTTAATTTTCTTGGCCTTGCCGCTTTTGATGCTGACATTGGCACCACGGATGCCATGCCTACTCATTCATTTTTCAGTAATTTATATTGCCTCATTTAATAAAACCACTGTTTCACACATGTCAGGATTGTCTAGTTTCGCACATGTCAGGATTGTCTAGTTCTTGGTATGGGCATAACCAACACCAATGTGAGTGCCATTGACTCTATGTTCACGTGAGGCTTTGGGCCTTTTGTTTTATGAGTCTTCAGGTAAGTGGTTCAGGCCAATGTTCACGAGGCATTGTTATTGATGGTGTTTCCACCCCTGACATGGGCGTTGGTGGCCCTGGTGCTAAGGATTAGCCCTTTTGTTGCGGTTGAAGTCTTGACAACGGCATTGGTGGTCTTGACGACAGGCCTTTGGTGTTAGTGCCCTTAGGTGGGCATTGGGGGCTCTAGCGCTAGGGATTAATTAGCTCTTTAGTTGTGGAATTCGTGGTCTTGACACCGGCTTTTGTGGTCTTGTTGGTGGCACCAACGCTACTACCAATGCGTCATTTTTGTCAATATATTTTCTTGGGTTATAACTTCCAAACCGTACATCATATTTGGGCGATTCTTGAGTAGTTGGAAAGCTTAGGACTCTACTTTAATTTAAAATCCATTTTGGGCCCAAAAGACTAATTCTTAAAGAGTATATGAGTTTTGGACTTTAGGGTTCTTGTTGTTTGGGTTTTGGGTGTCAGAATTGTGTACGAATTGACTTGAGAGGTATTTGGCAATCCTAAGTCTTATGGTTCTTAGGTCTTTAGATTTCTTAGCATTCTTTTATGTAGGGATGTGGTGTCTATAGTTGTTCCTCTTTTGTTGCTCGTATGGCACACATGCGGTGCGAGATGGGCGGCAAAGAGGTAGACACTTGAGGCACAAAATGAGAGCAATATAGAGTTGACAAAAGGATAAAAGGACTTTTGAAATAGTCATCTCTGGAATGTCGAATAGCAGTTGACTAGTGGCACATATGGTCTTTAGGACCTGGAGGTGAGCTTCGCCCATTAGTTGAGGTGATAGCTAAGAGCTCCATTTGTTGGCAAACTTAGGTCGTGGTCTCAAATTCCAAGGTGAAATTGATTTCTTGGTTTTTGAAACATAGTCAAAAAATGGTTTTAGAAGAGAAGGCGGGGAGTTCTGAGCTAATTACAGGTTACCTCGTGGCCCAGGCGTTCCCAAAGGTTTTTCAAGTAGTTTCAAGGGATCTTTGGGGAGTTTGTCGGTTTCAGGGGGAATTCAAAGGGTTTTCCAGTTCGTGATGCCTTTCATCTCCACGGCCCATCAATCTTAGTCGCGTTTTGATCACCAAGGGCAGATCCGACTCCTTCATTTTTAAAAATATTTTTTTAGAAAAATTTTTAACACATGGAGAAGTTTTAAAACAGATATTGATTTCAGATTATAATTTAAACCAAAGAAATTAAAGTTTTTGGAAACGAAAAATATAGTTTTAAAAGCATCCAAACCAAGATTGTCCGTGTATTTGGAGTTTGAAAATTGAAAATCAAGAAATTGAAAACTAAGAGAACTGAAAATTAAGAAATTGAATGAGTGCCCTGAAGAGATGGAGGCTTTAGAAAATGGATTAGTTAACAATTTTAGCTCGTGAAACCATAGAGCCAATTGAGCATATTTTTGTCGTGCAGTGATGGACATTGAGTTCTTAGTTAATGTGGTTTGCTATCCATGAAAAATCCACTGTACTTGGTTTCCGGTCGCCTGGTTGAGGTCTGATCGTGCTACCATATTTTTCTGGGAGGACTTGCCCTAGGTAAAGTTTCCATGACTCAATCTCTGAATTGTATGTCCTGCTCAGTCCGAGATCTTTCCCTAAATGTCATGGCCCGTAAGGGCGGTCGTCTCATCGTGACATGTGACTGCGGGAGGGCATCATGGTGACATGTGACTGCGGGAGGGCATCATGGTAATCACACCGCTATATTTTTCGGGGAGAATTCATCTTAATAAGAACTTCTGAGTTGTAAAGGTCTATTGGATCCTTCTTTGAATGTTGTTTGTCGTACTGTGAGGGGCTGCCCAAAGCGGGTTTTACAAGGATCCCGTTGAGTGACTGAAGGACTCTATTACATCATTTTCCTGGGAGAATTCATCTTAAGAAGAACTTCTGAGTTATAAAGCTCAATTGTAGAGCTCTGCTGAATCTTTCCTATAATTGTGTTTGTTGCATTGTGACAGAAAATTGCTGAATCTTTCCTATAATGGTGTTTGTTGCCTTGTCACAAAATTTCTGAATTATAGAGCTCTGCTGAATCCTTCCTATAATGGTGTTTGTTGCATTGTGACAGAAAATTGCTGAATCTTTCCTATGATGGTGTTTGTTGCATTGTGACAAAATTTCTGAATTGTAGAGCTTCTGCTGAATCCTTCCTATAATG